AGACATGACTATATAATTATGATTATTAATACATATAACAAACAATAATTGTTCAATAATAAAAAGGGGAACGTTAGTTTAAACAGAATACAAAGGGGGATAACTCCTGGTCCACATCAAATATTCATAAATTATTGTTATTTACCTATACTTTTTTTTGTCAAGATAGAACGTTTGTTTTGAGATCTTTTGCCCTTCTTGTTTCAAATAAAGAATTAAGATAATCACTGAATTCTGATATAAATTATATATCATTATTTGACATTATCTAGATTAAAAGATCATCTTTATGTAATTTTATCAAGTTATGAAACTTATAAAAAATATTATTAAGATATAGTTCTCTAATATTATTATATAGAGAGCATGTAAATAAAAAAAAATGAGCTTCATCTTCAACTGTGTTGAGTGAGTAAAACTTACATATTGTATTGTGACGAGGAAATACAACCAATTTTCCTCGATTATCAGTAATTCTTTCATAACGACCGCCCTCAATTCTGAGACTATGGTTACTTAGTCTAAATCTACATAATGAGAATCTTTTTTGTTAGTTTTTGATATTAACCAAATTTTCAAATTCAAAGTTGAGTATGACATTTAATAGTTATTTTTTTATTTGCTGTACTCACCATGAGACATGGAATCTTATGCTTTTCCAATGCTTAATAACATCTAATTTGAAGCATTTTTTTTAGCAAACTCTTAAATTTGTTTTCGTAATAGTTTTGGTATTGGTTGTAACTACCTCTCTTGTTTAATAGTCACTGAAAGCTAATGTACATAGCTTTGTAGATGAGTTTATAAGGCGGTGCCAATACATACACATGTGGGTAACAATATAAAGAGAGAATCATCAATATTTGTACAATTTTTTGTTACATCAAGAATATATTTACAAAATCTAATATATATATATGGTGCATGTAATGAAAACTGTACCTTTTCTATAGGTATGTTGTTAGAAATATATTTCGTCAATGGCATTTGCTCGTATGCTGTATCTAGAAAAGCGCTTCGGACGCAAAAAAATATTAAACGTGTTGTTTTCAATTTTTTGCAAGCGAGGCATCATGTTTATTTAGCATGCAGGGAAAACACGACGAAGCAAAATCTTTATTTGAGTTACATAAAACAATAAATGTGACTGCAGAACAATTTTACCAAAATACCCAATTTTCGAATATCTTTCCACCTTTTCTTTGAACTCCTTCTAGAGTTTTATGTCTATCAAATAACAAAAAACAATGAAAAAAAAAAACAAACAAACAAACAAATGTTGTACAAGCTGTATTGCTGATTTGCGATCCCCTTAAGGGCATCCGATACAGTTTCTCGATATAATGTCATTTTTATAATTTTGAAATATGTTGTAGGCCTTGGCGAGTTATTAAATAAAACACAAAATAAAACATAGGTCACCATGCTTGTTTTCGAGAAAATTGAGGCTGAAAATTGGGGATTTGTGCAATTTTGTAAAAAAGTTAGGCAATGTTATAAAATTTTTGGAGCAGATATTCTTCGTCGTAAATTATTAAGATCGGGTTCAATTTGAAGCTGTGATAAGACACAATAAGGAAAAAAATAAATCCCTACACGAATGACTATACAATTATGCAAACCTTGCTTGACATTGCGGGCCAGATGCTCAAAGTTGTATTTTTTTTAACCTAAAAATAGGGAAATAAAGTGTTTCTAAAAATGTCATTTTTATCATTTTTCTACATAAACTGCATTTTGTCATGCTTTCTCCAAATCTCAAATAAAAAATATATGTCACCGTGCTGGGTTCCATGATAAACGCGAGTTATCCTAAAAATTGAGTCCCCCCCTTTGGAACCTCAACGTTAGCGCTAAAATGCACGACGTCGCTGGCAGACAATTTCGACGTTATCTCTGCAAGTTACCGGCGACATTTTTTAGATGTATAAATATTGCTTGTAAACAGCTACCTATAAATTGGTCAAATTGTTTTCGGAAATAAAATCATGTGAATCACAAATACCTGTCTCTGTTTGTGGTCTAAGTGAGAAACATCGCAAGAAAAGTTATTACGGACTGTTGATAATTTTACGGCTTTTAGAATTAAAGACTCGGCAATTTAGAACTTGACATACAGGTACATGTACTGTACACACTCGTGTATTATTTTTTACAATATGTTGACCTCTAGATCAATTGAATAAAATTTATAGGCTTCTGAATAGTTTTAAAGTTCACTTGATAAAATTATCTCCACTGGATCACAGCACAAAGGTTACTTACATGAGGTCTTTTCCTGCAAACGGAACTTCTTTTTTGTACATAAATTAGGCCGCTAGTTTTCTCGTCTGAATTGTTTTACAGTGTCATTTCGGGGCCTTCTATAGTTGACTAATAGATGCGGTATGGGCTTTGCTCATTGTTGAAGACCGTACGATGACCTATAGTTGTTAATTTCTTTGTCATGTTTGTCTCTTGTGGAGAGTTGTCTTATCGGCAATTACACCACATCTTCTTTTTTTATGTTGTCAGAAAACAAAAACAAAATCTTATAAAGGAGAATCTTCAATTTGCCAAAGGATGCTTTTGTCCAGACAGAGAAACTAGCCCATAATTTTGAAATTTTTGATTTGGCAAAACGATTGAATTAATAGCGAAAGGACTGGACATATTACCTATTCCCCCACCCACTCCCAGCTTTGGTTTTGTTTCTGTTCCTCTCCCAACTTTCCACACTATACCCACTTAAAGTACGATTGCAAAGCAAGTCAGTGGCGGATCCAGAAATTTTCATAAGTAGGGGCCCACTGACTGCATAAGAGGGGGCCCGCTCTCGTCACGCTTCAGTGATTCTCTATATAACCAACCAAAATTTTTCCTCAAAAGGGGGGCCTGAGCCTCCCCCCTGAATACGCCTCTGCACGTCACTTTTATAATCTTGTACTATTATATACTTTCTCTTCAGTTTTTAATGCTGTTTTTTTAGGGGGAAGAGGGGAGAGAGTGGGAGAGGGTAGCAAGTTGCGATTAAAATCCATGGCCAAATACTAGTACTTCTCTCATAGCGTAATTTTATTGGTAAATAACTATATATATTTTTTCACCACAGCGCGACGCATTGCGGGGTACATAAAATATCACACGCCCATTCCTCTGTCTGTCCTTTATGTCCTTCTGGTTAATAGATTTTTCAAGTGTACAATTCTTGCCAAATTTTTATAAAACTAATATCGTATGGACACGTTCGAAAATCAGTGCATATCAACTGTTCTTTAAAAGAGTTATGCCATTTGGAAATATTAATTATATTAGAAATTGCATTGTATTTGATGTCAATCCGTCATTTCTCTAATATATTTGTAAAAAAAATAAAGAACAAAATAAACAGCTGCGCTACGAGCGCATGATACGCCCATCGTCTTATGAAAAAAAAATCCATAATAAATGTTTTTAAAATAACACGGGGGTTGTACAGGAATTCATGCTAAGTATATCCTGACTCATTCCTTATTCTTTCTCAATAGGAAGTTTATATATCACATCATGTGTTCTATGATATCAAATTGAAGCTCAATAAAAATTCAAGAACTCAAAAATGAATTAAAGAATCATCACGAAAAAGTATACAGATCTTTAGATTAATTTAAGTAACAAGTATGTGAAGTTTTATGCAATAATTATAAATAGTTTCTGAGATACGGCGCGACATGTGAAAACCCCCTCTTTTTTCATAAACTCAATAACTGTAAAATAAAATTTTGAATCATCCCCAAAAAGTACACAGATCTTCAGATTAATATAACTAAGAAGTGTGTACAGTTTTAAGCAATAATCATAATTCGTTTTTGAGATACGGCGCGAACTGTGAAAAAAACACCTCTGTTTTAGTTACAAAGTCCTGTAACTCAAAACGTTCACCAAAAAGTATACTTATCGTTTGACCATCATAAAAAACAACTATGTTAAGTTTAATGAAATTTGGATATTTGTGCTGTACTATGTTAAAGACGGACAGACAGACGCCGGACATTTGTATACCATTATTACGTTCCGTCAAAATTTTTCGGCGTTAATATTGTTGACTTTTGCCTTTTGTTAGATAAAATACGTGCAACGTGGAAGAAATAGGAACTTTGTTGTATCATTTTTAATATTAGCGGCATACCATTATTTATTTTAGTAAATTGTTCAGTTAGGAAATTTATTTCTTCGTGTACCTAAATTTTCGGTATTAGTTTTAAAATATCATTGGTTTTCTGTGCTGTAATAAAATGTCAGAAAATCGGATTCGGACCAAATCATGGATGATGAATGATAATAAAAATGATAATTGACATGCATTATATTAGTAACACCAAAAGGGTCAGTCGTCTTGAGATTGCTCACTATACGATACTTTGTTGAAGATCTGACAGAAACAGTAATATGTTTTATTTCTTCTGATTTTATTAGACTGTTTTCCTTTTAGAATCAAATGCACTAATATTAATGGTTTAGAAGTTAGCATGCGGGAGAAACAGAAATTGAAGCATCGAAAATCCACATTACGTTTCTTATTACGGAAAATTACACGCATTACGTCCCGCAAAAAGTGACGTTTTGCGGGAATTCAAACGCATAACGTCGCGCCAAGAGTTAACTCCCTTGAAACTGTATCGGATGCCCTTAATGCAGTGTTATACAAAGACATAATACAAGAATAATCAAGCTCAAAAAAGATATTCAACAAATGCAGTGTTATATACAATAATGAAATGAAAATGCAGAGCACTGTATATAATTTTATTTTAATACTGGTTCGACGAAGTACATGTGCATGTGTAACAAATGCCAAACAAATAGTTAAGTCTAACAGACCCATTCGTATCAAGACAAACTATAATGTTCATGCATATGTCATTGTATACTTAACGTGCACATTTCAAAAATCAAGATAACAATTGATTAGATTATATATGTCTATTTAAGAAAGAAAAAAAAACACAAAAGCAACAGGAACCATTTCTTTAAAGTTGTAATCAAGAACGTCTTTTAAATTTGGCAACAATGCAGCCGAGTATGTCAATGAACACAATTAAAACTGTTGTAAGGCAAATGAAGATGACTCCAACATATCCTACGGATGTAGCCGATACACGATCATCTGGAGCTGATATCTTCAAACGACGCATCCGGCTTGTATTTGATTTGTTGATACTTAGTTTTTTTTTCATTAGGTCTAATTCTGGCTTCAGTATTTCTCTTATTTGATCAAGAGTAAGATTCATTCCACGTAAGAAATTCCATTTGCCTTTCCCAACCTTAGAACAGGGACATAGGCATTCAAGTGGAATGATTGGTTCAACAGAAGTGACCTGGGAATTTACCACAATTGTTGTCGTGTTCATAGTTGTCACGTCAGATGCTCCAGGCTTTGTTATTTTTAAGGTAGCCACTAACGACTTTCCACGTGTTGTCATGTCGGTAGTTGTGACTTTTGATTGCCCAAGTGTTATAAGTTCTGCTGTTGTCACTGATTGTCTATTGGTTGTCGTCTCTGTAGTTATCACAGTAGAATGTCTAGGTGTTTTCATTTCGGTAGTTGTCACCTCTGATTGACCAAGGGTTGATTGTCTTGTAGTTATCACTGTAGATTGTCCCGGTGTCGTCATCTCTGTAGTTTTCACAGTAAAATTTCCAGGTGTTGTCGTCTCTGTAGTTTTCACTATAGATTGTCGCGGTGTCGTCATCTCTGTAGTTTTTACAGTAAAATGTCCAGGTGTTGTCATCTCTGTAGTTGTCACTGTCACTGTAGAATGTCGCAGTGTTGTCATTTCGGTAGTTGGAACTGTTGCTGTTATGACTATGAATTTAAATAAAACAGAAAATCAAATTAATCTGTTTATATTTTTTAAATGATGTCTTATGGTTTTTAATTCTTGTTGCTGGCTTTGATTTATATCCCTTCATCTCGAAGATATAATAATGGAATAAAGGTGGATACTCTATACGATTAGAGTGGCAGCAAGTATACCTAAACTAAACGAAAATCTTGTCCAATCCATATGAATAATGTGTTCAAAAGATCATAACTATGTTTGATTGATAGAGGGTAATACATGAACTCATAGAGAAAACCTTTAAAATTGTTTGATTACGCTTTCACTGTTTTTATTTTTCACTCATGCATTGCAGCTTGTAATTTTAATCGTCTTCAGTCAATCCAAGTTGGGCATATATTGAACAGATGGAATAAAACAATCGCTAGTAACACAACCTTTTTTTGTAGTTAAAAATGAAAATCACACTTTATACCTTGTATGCGTCCGAAATGCTTTTGCCAAAAAGTTGAAAACCAAGGGTGTATAAGTATTGAAACAAGTGTGATCTAACAGAGAGGCGAAAGATACCAAATGTACATTCGTACTCATAAGTCGAAAATAAACTGACAACGCCATGGCTAAAAAAGAAACAGATCAACGGAAAAACCGGAAGGGTAAGCAGATCCTGCTCTACATGTGACACCCGTCGTGTTGCTCATGTAAGTACAAACCCGGTGATAAGTCTAAATAATAGGATATAACAAAATGTAGAATGTATCCCTAGTAAAATGTTATTGCAAAAAAGAATGTAAACTACTAAAAACTAGTAATCCTTCAATCATTCATTTAGAATAAAAAAAATCGAAAACATATGCCTCATCTTTACGCTTAGGTATCACAACGATGTTTATAGATTATCCAAGAATTTACAGATATTTCACAGTTTCATCCATGCGAAAGAATAACCGAAAAGACCCCAAAACAATTATGTTTTCTCATCTTTAAAAACCATGCATATTTGCATTTCAGTTTAAGGTAATGACAAACAGATACAATAACTGTACCAATTTTACAGCACCAGAAGTGCATTTCCACAATTTATGTCTCTTCAATGATGTTTAAGGTAACGTATTTGAAAATGAAAACCTAATAAATGTTATGTTTAATAAGATTGGGTTGAGACGTATATATTTCATTTCTATATTTCGAAAAAGAATATCTGCATGAATTATATAAAAATATATATTTTGGAGAAGCTTTTATACTGTCCATTGGTATTTGCAATGTATGACAGTAAATGCATAATCTTGAATAAGAGAATGGCAATAAGTCTGAATCGGAAAATCGCTGACCTGACCATATACTGCTTGCTCGTAATAAAGTAAGTTGGATTGAAAGTACAGTAACGACATTGCAAATTAAATTGCATGTCGATTTATTTTTTATTTTTTATTGCTGAAAAAAGGAATTTTAAATAAATATCATTACATCAAGATATTTTATAATAAACTTATCATAGATACCAGGATTGACATTGTGTACGCCGGACGCGGGTCTCGTCTGAAAAAGAGTACTAAATGGAAAAAAATGTCTGTTGGATTACATCAAGTGCGACAGCATAGTTAAAAATAAATAAATCAAACTATGAGTGTCTTGTTTAAAAAACAAACACACACAAAAATGTTGTATACTATATTTGAAAATATGCTTTAACGTTTAATTCTCTTCTGCTATTATTTAAATACAAGCAAAATTAAAAACTACTTACATTCATAAACAGAATTTCGCCAGGATCCACCACATATTTGTAACGAATTGCCCCGACATGGTTGATTACATTCGCTGTCATTTGTCTTTTGGTACATATCTGGATCGCCCAAAGAATCGCCACAAAAACATTGTTTGGAAGCCTGTATAATAATGAATGATTAACAAAATAAGGAAATGTGGTATGAATACGAATAAGAAAATTAACAACCGGAGACACCAGGTCGTTGGTGTAAGCAATTATATGTTACAATTACACACGAAATGAAAATTAGATATGGTAGACAGTAACCGACGTCAACCAATGAAAAATAAGCGATTCATTTTAGACAGAAAAACCAATAATATGGTGGGGTTAAACATGTAAGTGAATGTGACAGTGGATTAACAGCAGCATAAAACAACATAAGGATCACTTTGAAAAAAAGCTGCTGCTCCTGTAATGACAATGACCGCATCAAGAATTTTGATGGAGTTTTCATTAGGTTTTCACAAGCGCAGCCAGTAATGAAAATACAGATGTTGTGTTATTTATATGTGCTGTAACAAAATTTTGAATTTTTTTTTAAATCAAGGAATATATCTCCTTCATGCAAAGATCTGATTCCTTGCCCCTATTTGGTTACTGTAAACCAACTTATTTTTGCGGATACTTTATTTCGCGTTTAGCCCTTTCTAGCCTATTTCGCGGCGATTTAATTTCGCGATTCTCAAATTTACTTGATGTAGATAAATAAGGGAAAATCCAAGTTTTACATATTCGCGACGATTTATATTCGCGTTATTTGTCTGCTCGCGAAAGTCGCGAAAATAAATCGCTCACGAAAATTAGTTTACAGTTATTTTTGTCCTGTTTGGTTTATAAGATCTACATTTTTTAAATAAGTTTGGGATTTTCAAATTGGTTGGCCTTAAGCATCACCGAAGTGACATTTATTGTCGAAATGCGTATCTGGTGTAGAAAAATTGGTAGCCTTTATTTTATAACTACCACTAGGTCGATACCTCTGCTGGTGGAATGTTAGTCCCTAAGAGTATCACCAGTACTTTGATACAGACATGAACATACCGATATTGTGTTATCAAAATTTGCTGTTACAAAATTTTGGAAATCATTATGAATTAAGGAATATATCTCTCTCATGCAAATCTCGGATGCCTTGCTCCCAACTTTGGACATACTATTTATCCCTTTTGGTTTATAAGCTCTACAGTTTTGCATTTTCAAATATTTCCGCCTTGAGCATCACTGAAGAAACGTTTATTTAATGCACCGCATGTCCATTTTATCATACAAAAAAAACATGTATCAACTCAAAAAAACTTACCATGGCGTTTATTTTCTTAACTTTATTAAACACACGCAATTGCATACTGCAAATGTAAAGCGTGAAGTCCAACAAATCGGAAAAGTTGCCCAATTGTTTACAGACACCAACATTTAAATAAAGAGCAGCAGAAACCCTTCAAACATATCGGTTTTTATGATTTCATGCATTGCAGCTGCACGGGTAGTAACGTCGTCTAATCGATGAGCGTTTAGTATAGTGATTTTGTCATAGTTTGATTAAGTTGGACATGATTGTGTTAAGTGTTTTAATGACAAACAACGACACAATATAAACATTTTTTGTTAAAGGAACTTCTGAACATAAATTCAAGCTGGTAAGTATCTTTGTCTATTTTTAATGTGTTAGCATGAATACAAGTAGAATAAATAATATTATACTGGATGACAAGTCGCCCAGGATAAAAAGGTGTCGATCGGATGTTGTCAAGGACACAACAACACCGATTATATCAGGTGTGTCCCCAGGATCATCTTAAAGGATGTAATGTGACCCGGATTTGTTTTTGCGTAATCGATTTTATGACTATTGAACAGCGGTATACTACTGTTGCCTTTATTTAGTACATTAAAAGTTGTATTATATAGTTAATAATTTGACACAGAATAACGCTTCCGTATATCAAAATTTAAAAGTTGCTTATTCGTTTCTCATGCATAAAAAGGTGATGTGTTTACTGTCTGTTACATCACATATTTCGTCATAATATAAAACTGCCATCAGTTATTCCGAAAAATAGCTACATTTGCACACACATTAAGATTACTGAAAATACGGTGTTATACAACTATTGAAATATTGTCAAAAAATAATTTTGCCGATACTTTTTTTCTCCCGTTTAACCCATTCTATCCTATTTCGAGGCAATACATTGTCGCCATTTTCTGATGTTGTTGTTTTGTTCCCATACAGTAGATCTAAGCTCTACATATTTATGTTGATCTTCTTTTAGCAAAAACCATCGCTCGAGAAAATGAGTCTTCTACAGTGAAAAGCAGGGACCCCTCTGTCATGGACTGTTTAGGGTTTATCTATTCCAGGTGATTTAAACAAAAGATATTATTCACTTTAAAAAAGACAAATAAAAAAGGCAAATGTGAAAAAAAATAATTTATTCTTTTAAACTAAAATTTAAAATATATCATATTACTCTCTTTTAAATCTGTTGCATATTATTTATTAGCCGAACTGTATATTGTGTACTAAGAAGTACTAACCTTATCACTGAAATGCTACATATTAACGTTAACGAGGCAGGGATAAGGTACCGGTTTTTTTTTATATCGCTAACAAATGTAAATTTCAAATAAAATTGTTTACCATTAAAAAAAAAGAAAAAAAAAGAACCATGATTTCTTGTCTTGTCGGGTCAAAAATAAGTTCGTACACAGTTTAAATGTACTTGTACCAAACAAAATAACACGTGTATCTTGGAATTTAATTTTTTTTCAATCACATTCAATTTCTCATACTAAATACTAGAGCGGCGGAGCTTTTTCTGATACTATTGAAATGTTATTGCAAGAAGGTAACATTTCTTTTACTGAATTAACACAAGCTTTGAAAAGGATAAAAATAATAAAAGTCCTGGGTCAGATGGTTTTACTGCAGAATTTTTTAAAGTATTTTGGATAGACATTGGAAAGTTTGTCTTGAGGTCAATAAATTATTCATATCAGATAGGGGAAATGTCTGTAACACAGAGGCAGGGAGTTATCACATGTATTCCAAAAGAAGGCAAGTAAAAACAGTTGTTAAAAAATTGGCGTCCAATTACACTTTTGAATTCAACATACAAACTAGCTTCTAGTTGTATAGCTGAGAGGATAAAGTCAGTTCTAAACAGAATTATTGACTCTGATCAAACAGGCTTTATCCCGGGTAAATTTATTGGGGAGAACTGTAGACTTATATATGATATTTTACACTTTACAGAAGAAAATGATATCCCTGGTATATTATTACTCATTGATTTTGAGAAGGCCTTTGACTCTATATCATGGGCCTTTCTCTTTGAAACACTGAAGTATTTTAATTTTGGAGACTCTATTATGAACTGGATAAAAACATTTTATAATGATATTACATCTACTGTCACCCAGAACTGCTGTCTGTCAGACTTTTTCCGTGTGGAGAGAGGCTGTAGGCAGGGGGATCCTTTGTCTCCTTACCTTTTCTTGCTATGTGCTGAAATATTAGGCATTTTAGTAAGAAGTAGTGATGAGATAAAGGGTATTACGATAGATGATTCATAGTATATCTTGTCTCAATATGCAGACGACACATCACTTATTTTAGATGGGTCGCCTTCCTCACCTGATGCATCTCTCCGTATATTACAATTCTATGCTGAGATATCAGGACTGAAAATTAATTTAGACAAAACAAACGTTATATGGATTGGTAGTAAAAGACATAGTCAAGACAAAATATGTGTAAAGTGGGGACTGAAATGGGGTTTCAGTACCTTCAAATTATTAGGTATCACTTTCTGTGTTGATTTAGATAGAATGTTAAATCTAAACTATGCTCCTCGAATACAAGAAATAGAAAAAATATTACAAAAATGGTCAAGACAGTCACTTACCCCGTTTGGTAAAATAACAATTATAAAGTCACTAATTATATCAAAATTAAATCATCTGTTCCTGTCCATCCCAGGTCCAGATGATAATATGATACGTCAACTTAATAGTAAAATTTATTCATTCATTTGGGATGATAAGCCTGACCAGATAAAGCGGGATCTTCTATGCCAAGAATACTTTAGAGGGGGCCTAAAAATGATTAATTTGAGACATTTTATACAAGAGTTTAAAACTTACTTGGGTTAGAAGATTATTTAAGTCAAAATCCAAATGGATCCAATTATTTACCTCCACCCAAAATATAAATTTTACAGAGTTGGCTTATTTTGGAATTATTAAAAAATCAAAAAACAAATTTTGGGATGAAGTTGTTCATGCCTGGAAAATTATGTCAAAACTCTTACATCCATTTCATTTTGAGGAAGTCATTTCGACATCTATATGGCATAACGAACATATTTAAATTGATAACGTCAGCGTTTACTATAAAAATTGGTCACATCATGGGGTATGGACTGTAAATGACCTGTTAGATGAACATGGAAATATATTAACATATGAAAATTTTGAAATTATGTATTTCCTCAAAATGAAATTATGTATAATTTCAAACCCATGTTTCTACAGTTTTATGGGCTTATATTAGCACTAAAAAAATGGCTACAAGCCAGTTGAATCAACACCGAAAGAGAGAAAAAACATCAGGCTATTATACCTTTTAACATTAATATTTTCTTTAAGTCCGAAAAGGGCTCAAAGGACATGTATACTATTTTAAATCAAGGAACTTTACCTATAGATTTTGTAGCAGAACAAAATTGGGAAGGTAATCTTAATAAAGTTATAGAAAATTGGAAAAAAAAATTGTGTGTTACCAAGGTTTCAAAAAACACTAGGTTATGTTGGTTTCAATATAGAATTATTCATTATATCTTAGGGACTAATGCTCTACTCTTTAAAATGAAACTTGTTAACTGTAATTTGTGTACATTTTGCAAGGAAGAGCATGAAACTATAGAACATTTACTTTGGGGTTGTCATATTGTAGCCGACATTTGGCACAATCTAAATTCTTGGATTTTCGATATAGTTCATATAGAAATTCCACTAAATTTGAATATTGTCATTTGTTGCCTCTATGAAAATTATAAATTGAATTTTATTAAAAATAAAGTTATCTTACTGACAAAG